CGCGCCCCACTCCCCCCGAACTGTCGTTTGGAGATGGACTCTCCCCCCGCCTCTCCCGCCCGTCGCGGGGACAGTGACACCCGATCTGTTACCTCGCCGTGGAGACACGGGCCTATTTGTTACGGGGAGCCTGCTCCACTCGCCGAGGCGAGCGGCCAATCTTTTTGACGGGGAGGGGGCGGGGTGGGGTGGTGGTGGTTCTTGGTTGAGTGCGGGGGTCTTATATGCGGGCCAAACGCCCCCTTGGGAGCTCACGCTCGAGGAGGTAGGGGGCGGAACAAGGAGGGCAGGGAGCGGAACGCCACGTCACGGTGTGTCGTCTCCCACGCACCTCGGCGTCGTGTAGGCAGGGCATCGACAAGTTTGTCGCCGGGCTGCTGCTGCTGCCGCACATCTCCATACACAGGCTCGCCGCCGGGGCGGGCGAGCGCGTCACGCCGTCGTGGGCGGGGCGGCAAAAATGTTGCGGAAGGTGGGCATCAGGGCGAGCGAGAGAATCTAGCGTAGGAGGACGTAGGGGTCCGACCGCGGCGGAAGGGCAGCACCGACCCGGCCGCACTGCCGCCGCCGCACCTCTGGACTACTTATCTCTGCCCGAGCACGCTTCATCAACGACAGACCAGACCAGCCGAGCCGAACCCGAGAGAGAAAGGAACGGGGGGGGGGGGAGCTATTTACATCGTCCTTTCTATCGCCCCACCCCCACCACCCTCCCTCACGTCCCGGAGGTCCTGAAGGAGCCGCCGAGCGCGATGGAGTCGAACGACGCCTTCGCCTTGTCGAACGCAGTTCGCCAGGAGGCTTCATTTATCTCGACTTGAACCCTTCCCTTTCCCACTCACTGCTGTGCGCGCCGCACGCTCTTTCCTCACCCCCTCCCCCTTTTCCACTCTGGCCCCGGCCTTCCCCCGTTCGAGCAGGCGAATTAGTAGTTCAATAATGGAGATATAGTGGAGAGCCAGCCGTAGGACGACGGCGGAGAGCGGGAGAGGGTGGGGGTGGGGGGGCAGGATGTGGTGCTACACCCCCGGCCACCCCTAGCTCCGGGCTGGCTGGCTGATTAATGACGGAGCGCTTCGCAGATTTGTGCAGCTATATTCAATTAAGATCCACGCTTAGCGCACGCTTGGCGCAGCGCACGCTCCTGCAAGCGTGCGAGGGCAAGACGGGAGGCGGGGGGCAGGGTGAAGAGGGGTGAAGAGTCACCGTCGCCTCCCCGCACCCCGCCCCTCGCCTGCTGCCAGCGCGCTCCGCCAAGCGTGCCCAACGCTTGCAGGAGCGTGCGTCAAGCGT